GCAACCATGGGTTCCGAGCTAAGTTACAAGTCCGCTATTCCATGTTATAGTAGTGTCTTGCAGATGTGTAACATGTGCCATGTTCCCTTTGAGGCTACATTGTGCCGGAGTACTACAAGTTTGACGGATACCTGTCCCCATCCCTGAACCTGAAGTTCACTGATGTGCCAAATGGCTTGAAGGCTTGCTGAGACAAAACATGGAATCAACGTAAGATTGTTTCCTGTGCAGGCACTCTCCGTTGTGCCCAAGGAGGGCTGGGCTCAGATGTTGGCCTTCGCTGGCTTCCTGGAGTTGGTTGTGAACAAGAAGTCGTCTGAGCCAGGCAGGAATTGGACAGTGTGGGAGTGCTTGTTGATCCTTGATTTTGCTGGCTTTGCAAGGCAACTACGGCAAGGGCAACTTTGGCCTGGGAAACGTTGGATTTGGCAACTCCATCCAGGATCCTGCCAAGAGGACTGCACACATATTCGATTTGTGCAAAGCGACTGCATGCTGGTCTGAGTCTGAGTCAGACAATTTGCAAGGAACAGGCAGCTCAGCGCCGAACTTGCAAACGGACGTTTGGCAATGATGGCCATCATTGGCATGCCTCTTGGGCAGCATAATGGATCCTCCTTCATAGAGAACTATTCACCGTTGGCTAGATTTTTGGACATGCTGGAAAGACTCGGTGCCCTGGTTTGTTTTTGTTTTGAGACTTGACATCCTCGCTTTTGCCGGCCTTGTTCAACTCACTTCAAGTGCACTTTCAAAGGTCCAAGTGGGACATGACCACCTTGATGTCGATGACGTTATCACATTTTCTAGGCACACCATATCTTATGACCTCCACAGGTCATGATTCCATGGCTGCGTTCTTCAACCTTTTCTGTAACCCCAGACCCACCGAGCCATTCTTGGGCTCTTCGACGGGCGACGGGCCAAGCGGGCGCAGTGCGCGCCTGACGTTTGAGGTTCTTCCAGGACGGCTTGACGGGCTCAGCCTGGGGTGATTGGTCGAACTACACCGACAGCCCTTTGAGGGCCTTCGAGACAGAGTTGGGCGCCACACGGCCTGAATTCGCTTCCTGCGGGTGAGAGTGGGGTTGGAGAGAATGAGAAGTGGTTGCCTTTATCAGAGAGCGAACGAAGTGTTAGATGGCTGTGGGTCATAGCACCAGAGTACCTCACGGTTGACCTGCCAACGATTCAGTCGTTCGCTACCTGGTGGACCAGCATACCCGGGCTGCCAGGGCAGGTGGGTCTTTTGGACCCGATGACGGTCACTCCGTTCCTCGCCTGTACTCGCCGGGCCGAGAAGGGACCAAAACCGTGCGGACCAGGATCGGCCACGGAACGACGTGGTCGGTGCCTGGTGAGCGGGTGGCGAAGATGTTGGAACCTGGTGATCAGATGTGATCATTTGGGGGCGACCTGTTCTAATGATAGGAGCAAAGTGTTCTGTTTGAGGCGTTCTGACGGAGCCAGTTTGGAGTGAGGTGCTGGGTGATGATTTCAACTACAATCCGCGACCCATTTATTGGTATCCTTGTTCGTATTTCTTCACGCACACACACACACACACAGGGAAAACGGACTTCACATGGTCCATGTGTAGAGGAAGGTCTTTAAGATTTTTAAGGTCTACACTGTACACTCCCTGAAACAATCATGGTTACGTGGAAAACCTGCGATTTCTGGTCGAGGAACATGCACCCTTCTGGTCATCCTTTTGGGACCTGCTCTGCTGCGCTCCACGTCACCCATGCTGTCCCTGACCGGCGCTATGCGCCAAGCGTTGAGGTTCAGAAGCCCGTGGGCTTCTGGGACCCCTTGGGCTTTACCAAAGGCCCAAGTCGGGTCGAATGATGTCGGACGTCGGTTTGGTGGTTGTTCCTCTCGTGGGGAGGGGATGCTGGGTGAGGGGATGTGAGGGGAGAGATTGACAATGACCTTTTTGAGGGAAGATCCAGCTCAGTGCTGGGTTTCTGGAGAGTGGTTATCCAATTTTGATCAATATTGCATCAACCAAGTTGTACAACAAGGTCCGTGGTCCGTGAACAGGTCTGAGGGGTGCGCCATGGCTGGCTGAGATGTTCATTTGGGAAATAGCCCTTTGAAAGTGAAGCTGGTCTCTTGCCATTCCACGTTCCTGAAGGGCCTGGAAATATTTACCAGCATCCAATTGAACACCCTTCGATCTTCAAGGAGTTTTTCTTGTCTTTTGTGACCTGTCATGACGACTTAAGATGATCTCCAGGATGACTTCTGATGCCCCCCCTTCTTGGAAATGGTTTGTTTGCTCCGGGGTCCCCCAACCGACGGAGTTTCCCGTTTCACCGACCGGAGGGAAACCCACCCTCCCCCCCTTGGGAGGCGGTGATGCGGAGAGCTTCCGCCGCCGTCGCTACGTGGAGCTGAAGCACGGACGCGTCGCTGGGACCGCGTCGAGAGTCCGGTGTGGAGCGGAAGAGGGGTGTGGAGAACGTCGAGACGTCAGAGAGGTCATGGGTGGAAGTGGAGACGTCGAATCTCAAAGGATATTAGGGGAACAACAAATACATCTATAAATACCGTGTTACTTATAGATGCATATTCAGAAGTTGAACAAACTTAATCACATCAAAAATAGAGTCTTCCAGAGAAGGTGCTGCCACTTCACTTCGTGATGGCGTTTTCTTTTAGGTGGCAGGTGTGTAAATGGGACCCTAGACTATTGGATTTTGAGTCTTGACCTTGATGGTATGAACCTGAACCCAAACAACTATCCATGGGAATCGATGGAAAGCAGGGTATGGGAATACCAAAAACGGCTGGTGCGACCAGTGCGGAATGAGGATCACTGAGATGAAAGGCATCTCTAGAAAGGCTTCATGTTACTCCCGTCAACCAGCCGTGCTTTCGCCCCCCGGAGGTGCTCGGAGGTGCCTCTCTGTCACCCAAAACAGGGCGCCCGCTCGGAGGTCGCCATGTTCGCCTGCATGGGCTATATCGTCCCGGAGTTCTACCGCTGGCCCGGTGATTTGTCTCCTTCCTTGGGCTTGAAGTTCAGCGTCGCTGGGACCAATGAACAAAAAGGAAACCATTGTATACAACCCAGGAGTCACATGGAGTTGGGTGGTTCTGAGTCCCATCGGCCGTGGATGTGACAGGAACACCCCCATCCTCATCCATCCTCCAAGTTTGGCACCCCGTCTTGTGACTGCTGGAATATACAGTCCTATGAATCATGCTGGGTGGAACTTGGTGGTAGTTTCTTTTTCATGGAGATTCGCTGTCAACCCATGTCTCCAGGTCAAATGACCCAAAGTCAAATCCAGTCGATGTTGAATCAGATCCAAAATGGGTGCGTGGTGAGCAAAAATCGCGCAGTCGATGGACTGCGCTGCGTATCGTCCCTGAATCGGTTTGCGATGGCGACTCAGGCAGATTCAGGGGGGTCAATGTTTTTTTGATCCAAGTGCAAGGGGGAGCCAGTAATAGCTCGGGTTGGCCGCTTCGGTTTCAGCCGAAACGATGGCTTCTCCGTTTCGCCGGTCGCGACACGGTCGGCGCCACCTGCTTCTGTGACGCTCGGTCTCGGTCCACGCCGGTGCTGAGGATGTCCCCAACGGCTTCGCGGCGTTCTCCAAGGTTCCTTTGTCCGGCTGGGCACAGATGGTGGCCTTTGCAGGCTGGGCCAAGGGCATGGGCTGGGCCTGTTGAAGGTACCTAATTAGAGTTCTTCAGGTCTGTAAGGACTCAGAAAGATGGGCATGTGACTTCCAAACAACAAGGACAACTAACCCACCGCTTGTGTTTCAAATAGAATGGGTTTCTTGTTGATGCAGGGAGGCAGGGAGATCCCTATGTCAAAAAACACCTCCCAGCATCTCCCAACAATCGCTAATAGCCCCGAGAGATCCTCGGTCCATTACACCTTGTTCACCGTTCTATCATGTTCGACGCAGTTATCAGATAGCTCCATCAGCTTCGCAGACAGCTACCCCTTGTCCAAAGGTGGTAACACTGGTTGTAAAAAGCTTTGGAGGCATCCTCAGCCCGAAGCCGTCTCCGAGAATGATGTTTCGAGTCTCGGATCCAGCCATTTGGGGATAGGTTCGATCTCACACCGACTCGCTGCACTGTCAGCTAAACTCCCAGCTGATCCAGGCACTGTCGAGCTCTTTCAGTACACGGATGATCCCAAGCGCGCCCCTGGAGACTTCGAGAACGCAGGTCGATCGCCCGGCGGGGACGACGCTCGCGCTCTTCTGGTCGCGGTCAGGGTTTGGGACGCGACCGCGATGCGTTGGAACAACGATTCCGGACAGTTCAATGGCATGGTTTCTAAGGATTCATGGACCAGAACCAATTCAGGAGACCAAGAGACTTTTTTGTTGTTTAAACTTAAAAAAAAACTATATATACTTATAGTAGAGTACTGAGTACTCCGCATGTGGCAGCGTCACAAAAGCCATGGATCCAAAGGACACGATTCGCAGCCCAGCTCCCACCACCAGCCAGCTCGCCTGAAGTCGCCGGCTTCGTGAAGTTTTGTTTTCTATTTTTCAGGCTTCTTGGGTATTCCCAACAGCTTCGTGAAGATCTCCGACCCCGAGGCGTCCGGGATTGGCATTTTTACTTTTGTTTGTGTGCATTTTGTTTTTTTCTCCGGGAGAGAGGTGTCAGTGAGAGCGCGATCTTTTCTGGAACAAACATGAACAAAGGATTAAGAAACCACCCACAAACACCGTGACTGGTACCAGGGAAACATGGAGCAACCCATCGAGTTCTTCCCATGTGGGCTCGCCGCCGAGTCGCCTCGCTCGGCTGTTGTGTCGACCCGGCGACTGCGATGGATTGACCAATCAAATGGACACGTGGTGCTCAGGGTGGTGCGAACACATTCCAGTGGTTGATGGATTTGTGTGAAGAGGCAGGGGTGTCCACCAACACTCTTTGAGGGTTCCACCAATCCTGGTGTCGATCGATTCCACCATGTTCCATCGGGTGACCTTCCACCAGAACAGCACATGGCAGAGACTGCTTGGGTATATGAACAGACCTGTGAGTGCTCCAAATCTGCTCAGTGTGTGGCACTCCATGTTTTGGCGTCCGCCATGACATGTTAGATCCTTCCTTTTTCCTTCCTTGCTTCCCATTGCTTGCTTTCCTTCAATATCTTCGATCTCCCAATCTTCCTTTGCTTAGAACCTGATCCTCCAACCCCCAAGACTTGCCAAGCAGCTGAGCTGATCTGTCTGCCCCGGGCGGAAGACAGTTCTGTTCGGCTCAGGTGAAGCAGACGAAGTTGGCCGCCGAGATCGCCAACGGCCGTTTGGCCATGATGGCCATCATCGGCATGTTCTTCCAGAACGGCCTGACAGGAGTTTCTTTATTTTCCCCCTCACGTAGCGGGACAGGTAAAGAAGCGACTCGCTGGGTTGGATCGCGGTGATGATGGGGAGGGAGAAGAAGATGATAACTGATAACCTATAGGATCCTATAGGGGTGATTGGTGCGTGCGTAGTGATGAAGATACAGATTAAGCACATCATCATCTCATGATGAGAAGGACAATGAGGAGGGCAAGGCCCAGGATGACGGATCTTAACGAGTTTCCCCCTGCACAATTCCCCACATAGACTCTTCGGTGATCGGTGATCATAGCTGGTTTCCCATGTCATATTTGGGTGCATATTTTAAATAGGGACCCACAACCAATGGGTAGACTGGTCTATTTCCCTTCCAGCGGGTCTTTGGGAGGTCTCCATATACAATTAATAATTGCACACCCATGACCTATCATGCTCTGCTCTCGCGGGTCTCGGTCTCCCCGCGCTTCTCCAGGAGAGGCCTGGGGCGACTGGTCCCTTTACACAGACTCCCCTCTGAGGGCCTTCGAGGGTGAGCTGGGCGTGCAGGCGCGGTCTGCCGAGAAACACCGCGGGGTTTGTTCAGCGAGACGGGAGTGAGGGGGGGGACTGGGACACTCAGGGCACACTCAGGCACTCAGGATCAGACTTGGTAAGGTTCTACCCGGTGGCCCGATGCAGCTGCACATTCCATGATGTTCCATGGTACTATTCGAAGCTGAGATTTTGAGATGTCTTCCCACCAACATGGACGTGGACTCTTGGGTTTGCCTTTTATATCAATGGCGTCGAGATCATGTCTCACAGGATCTTTTCATTCGATTTGTCCTTCGCTAGGCCCATCGATCGGCCAAGTCCATCGTGTCGACCGTGCAAGTTTGCCGTTCGGGTCGACCGTGCATGGTTTTCGCGAAGGCTTCGATGCACACATGCCTTGGCTAGTTGGAGGTCTGGATCATTTGTTGAATCTCCCCAAGGTTTGCATGACATTTAAGTTAAGGCACAAGGCAATGGGAGCTGTTAGAAGGCTACTTTTTTTTTCTGCATTAATCACCTTCTAACTTCTAGCACAGCATGTTGTGTATTACAATGGAATTGTAAGAAGTAACACAAGCAGAACAGCGAATGCCTGAGCTGTTCTGGTTCGAGCCAATTTGAGAGCACGAGCAGCTCTCAGCTGGGTCGGTGAGGCCCGATCCGACCTGGCCGGTTTCTCGACGCCATGGATGCGTTGCAGGGTCAGCCCCTCGTTGCTTGGACCATCCGTGAGTTCAAGCTACTGACCTCCGGTGTGTCCGTGGATGCCATGCGGCGGGCGCTCGTGGCGCTCATCGCTTGGACGACCAGCTGCCTCTGTTTGTTCCGGTCGCAACCGGAGGAGGTTCGGCAGGAGCTTCGGGTCTTCGAGGACACCGTCTGTGCCGTCCAGGAGGAGGTGGTGTCCCTGCTTGGCAGATCCTACACCAGCCCCCATGCGATGGCCCACTGGCGCAACCAGGACGCTGTCATCGTGCCTACACAGCAACAACATGTCGTTCGTGGCGTGATGGACTCGCTGGACGGCAAGCACCTGACCTTGGCCGGGTTCTGGGCTGATTTGTCCGCCACGGACGGCTTGCACATGGAAGAGTTGGTTGAGGCCGTGTCTGCATCCAGCAGCCTCTATGCCGGCCAGGAGGGCATGGTCCTAGTGGCCCACTTGAGCGGCCTTTTCGTCAGGTCTGTGGCGGAGGTCTACCGCCGGCAATTTCAACACGCCCGTGGACCGAATAGCTCCGACGAGGAGTGGGACGTGATGATCTGCGGCCCGCAGACCCCTCGTGGCCCGCAAGGCCCCTCAGCGAGTTCATAGTGTTTCACCCGCTCGTTTGCCTTTTTGAAAATTTCGTTGTTGCTCGTTTTCCGTGGTCGGTCGAGTTGATGGGTTATTTCATAGCATGGCCTCCTCTTTAAGTTGAAGACCTCGAGGCCTCCACCTTCACACGCTGTTGAAGTTGCTCAGATGTGAGTGCCGTCGGTCGATCGACGAACACATCAGTCCGTTTGCCCCTCTCACGTTGAGTTCACCTGTGAATTTTTCGCATGATTGGGCCCTAGCGAGTGATCATGACTGGCACTGACAGCGGCCCCCCCCGGCCTGTGGGGCGCATTGCGGTCTACTGGCCTGCAGCCTCTTGCACCTCAACTTGCCTGCCATGGAGTGCGCTCGCTGACGGACATCGCGAGCCGCTTCAATGAGTTGGTTGCGGCCGGCTTTTTGCCAGGTCAACTTCAGCGGCTGTGCGAGCAGCCTATGGGCTCCAGCCTGGACTCCGCAGTTGCCCCACGACGAGATTTCCCAGCAGTGCGCGACGGGGCTCACGCCTCCCTACAGTTAGCCCTGGCCGCTGCATTGCCCGACCGGCAGGCCGACAGTTTGCGGGCCTTGTCTGATGACTTACTGGCTCCATCTACACGACCATCAGTGGAGAGTAGACTCCGGACCTGGCAGGCCATTTGTGAGGCTTGGGGACAACCCCCCTTCCCGCTGACCATCGACAACGTGAGGCGGGCTTCTGCTTCCTTCAAAGCCGGTCGTTATCGATCAGCCAAACAGTACTTTGCCATCGTCAGCACCTATCAACAGCGGGAGCTGGGACTTCCTGTCGATCCGATGGTTCGCCAAGCTATGAAGGACCATATTCGAAGCATTGAGAGGGGCCTGGGGCCCAGTCAACTGAAAGAAGCCTTTATGATGCCAATGATTGGGCCGTTGATCCAGCTTCATGACCGGGATCCCTTCGCAGCAACCACCGTGGCTCATGCAGTCGATGTCATCATTCTGGGGGTATGGTGGATGCTCCGGGAGGTCGAGTTGGCCGCGGCCCGCGCACAGCATTTGCAGGTCTACAACAATACGGTCACCCTGACGCTCCCCTTCAGCAAGACGGACAGCGGGGGCCACATGGTCTCTCGATCCTTGGAGTGCGCATGCTCCGATGCGGTTCATGCCTTCTGCCCTTTTCATGCGGCCATACGACACCGCACCCGCCTTGCCAGGCGTTTTGGCCGGGAGCCCACAACGGAACCTCTACTCCCCGACTCCGATGGCGAGGTCTTTGACAAAGCCGGCACGATCGAGGTCATCAGATCCGTACTGACGGCAGCCGGCATCCAGTTGACCCGGACGACTGAGGACGGCCGAGAGGTCCAGCGGTTTCATGGACATGTTTTGAGAGTGACGGGCGCCCAGTTCTGCACCGCTGCCGGAGTTTCTCCAGAGCTCATCCAGACACATGGTCGTTGGAAATCCTTGGCCGTTCGCAGGTACACACAGGATGCCTCTTTAGCCACAACCCCCTCTATGGCATCTCGGGTTCTCGGCGGAGTGCAGCCGGCCACTCCGTCATTTTCCCCAGCGACGCCGGTACCGGCGAGGGATATGTTGGCACCGTCCGAAAATGGGGACGCCAGCAGGAGCGCCCCCGCGGCCAAGAGGAGCCGTTGCGCTGATCGCCCACGACCCGGGCCAGCGGTTCAAGACCTCCGCGAAGAGGTCCAAACACTGGCAGCATCTCTGCAGCAGCTGAAGACCGCCGTCCTTCGACCTGAGAGCGACCCCCTAGTGGTGTGGAACCGGAGCAAGATCGCCCACAAGATCGGCGTCAATGAACAGACCAATGTACCCACCTCCTGGCGGACCACATGCGGGCGACCATATGGCCTCGGTCTATTTCATAGGATCCCAGCCCTTGAGGGGGACTTCGTGCCCTGTAAAAAGTGCTTTCAACTTTCCTCCGATCCTGATTCGGTCTCAGAGGAGAGCTCTTCGTTGGGGGATGACTCCTCCGACGAAGGCGACAGTGCCTGACGGGGCGGCACCGGGCGAAACGGCTGCGCTCTCGGTGGGGGGTTCCCCCCCGGTTTGGTCGGTGTTTGGTCTGGGGTCCCCGCCGACTTCGTGGTGTTTTCGCCTTCTTCGGGTCGTCCACCTCGGGACGGGGGCGTTTCGGACGGGACGGATCGTCGTCACCTCGCGCGTCGAGTGTTGTGCAGGTTCAGGCAAACAGGGCATGACCTTGTGTGACTCTTCTTTCGGTTCGTCACCCGCTCGATCGTCCGACCGTTTGGCAGTACATGAATCACACACTGACTGATCTTCCGTCCGTGAGTGGGACGGCTCAATAGCAGCCATGACGGCCGCTTCGCTCCCTCCATTACGTGATATCCTTGACCATGCCGGGGCCGACACGGTGGTCATCGATTACATCCAGGCGCGCGGCATTACATCCCTCGGGACCTTCGCCAAGGTGGCGTCCTCCGTGGACAATCTGAGGGCGACCCTGATTCAGCCACTGTTGGATGGCTTCAAGAAGGGTGGTGCTCACCTGGTGGTCGATGATGTCGACAAACCGATTATCGAAGCAGTGATCATCACAGCCTGGGAAGAAGCCCAGGCGCTCTGGGCACAGCATGTGCGCCGATCAGCGTCAGCCTCGACCGCCGCGCCAGGTAGTCCGGCCCCGGCCACGGCGACGACGACTCTCAGTGATGACAGGCCGCCCAAACAGCTGCCCACTGGGGTGTGGAACAACGCCATTCGCAAGTACAACGACCTCGAGATCCAAGGGATCCATCGGAAATTTCCGGAGAAGGAGTTGCTTGGGGCCGAAGTGACGCTGGCCCGAATGCACCACGAGCACACCCGGAGCAAGATGTACACACCGGTCGGTCTCGGAGAACTCATGACCCACCGAAGCTTCACCTCCACGGGGGAGCCCAATCCATTGGTGAAATCCAAACAGGAGGCCAAAACCACTCTGACAGTGGAAGGCGATAAGTTGGTGCAGGAGGCCGACAAGGTATGGCAACCGAAATCGGTCCTGGCAGTGATCGACGCCATCAACAGCATTCGCTGGGCTTGGATCTTGCTTGACTATGGCCCTGAACTGGTGATCCATGAGTTTTGTGACTGGTTGTCATGTCGCGCACGTCTGCGCCCTCAAAAGTTGGAGCAGTTCAAGGTGTATTACGATCAGATCTCTTGGAAGCTAGCCACCTTAATGCGGAGCCACCAGACCTTTCCAGAGGCGACCGCCGAGATTCGGGCCGATCTCGAGACCTACCAGGAGGCAATGGCCAAGGAGATTGTTACCAGCAATCGACCCGCCGCCAAGCGCAAGCTGGACAGTGACAACCAGGCCGAGGGACCGACCATCAAGTTCCAGAAGGGCATGAGCAAGGGCAAGCAACAGGCACGCCCCCCGTGGCGATCAGGTGCGGCATCATCGTCCTCCTGGGACTCCTCCAATCGATCCAGCTGGTCCAGTCAGTGGTCCAGTCAGTGGAGCACCCCACGCGGCCAGAGTCGCGACTGGGGCAAGTCAGATCACAAATAGGGCCCAGGGAACCCCCCTGTTGGCACGCAGGGGGGCGATCCCGCTGAGCCCGAAGTGCCATTAGCCCCGGACCTCCGATGCAACATCGTTCTGAGCTTTTTCGATGGCATTGGTTCTGGGCCCTTTGTTCTACAAGAGCTCCTACCGACCACACCATTGGTCCTGGCCTGGGAAACTGATCAGGTTTGCAAGGACATCGCTAGCCACCACATGCCGCATATCCAACACCGGGGCGATTTCCGAGAAGACAGCCCAGAGGATGTCGCCGCCGCCCTACGGCAGCATGCGGGCAACGTTGCTCCTCAGGTTTGGGTCCTGGCCGGACCACCGTGTCCAGACTTCAGCCGCATCAAATCCGCAGCACCCGGAATAGAAGGGTCAGAAGGTGTCAAAATGGACGAATTTTGCACCTTTTTGGACAACCTGGAGGGCGCCCTCAAAGATTGGCCACCACCGATTATCCTCGTCGAGAACGTCGTGATGACCAACAAGCAGGAGATCCAACATTTCTCCCATCGGCTTCGCTGCAACCCCATTTTGGTCGACGCAGCTGATTTCGGGATGATAGGAAGACCCAGACTCTGGTGGACCAGGCACCAGTGGTCGTCCAAAGACACCTATCCCGGCACCAATCGCCCCCTGAGGTGGAGCCAGACTCATGGCCTGCATCGCCTGCAGGCGTCCCTCACCTGGGATGACCCGAAAGCAATGGAGCTTCACGACCTCTTCTTCCATGAGCAAGTCCGCCAACACCAGGTGAGGATCCCATGCCTGACCACTCCGGCACCAACCTCCCATGGCAGGCCAGCACCCAGGAGCGCTCGAGGGAAAACCTCCGACGAGGCCCGTGAACGGTGGATTGGCGACCAGCGGAGGTTTGCACCATGGAACTACGAAGACACTGCGATAATGCAAGGAGCAGATCGTCGCTTCTACGTGGTCCCTCCCAAAGTGAAGGAGAGGTTGCATCACTTTCCTGACAACTACACCAAACACAAGTCGGCCAACACCCAAGACAGGCATCGAGTCTTGGGCAACAGTTGGCACTTGGGGGTGGCCAGACTCCTCTTAACCCTCATCTTCACCAGCATCACCGCGACCACAGCGACACAGCCCAGCCGGTACCCTCACCAGACCATCCTGGACCAGATGATACAATGGGCCAACGTCCAACAGATCCCTATGGGACCAGGCCCGCGGCCCGTTCAGGCACCCCTGGTGACACCTTGTCACTCCATGGAAGAACACTTCCGACTGTCGTCGTCGGTCCTGCACCCAGCAGCCCAGCCCCCGGAACCCGAGCCTTCCCTACAAGACACCGCACGGAGGTTGCTCAGGTGTCTCGACCACATTGACCAGATCCGGCAAGCGGTCCTCCAAGATCTTCAGCAGCTCAAAGATGATTGGGCACCTGCCACTGAGCAATGGCTGGCCGCTGCCCCTCCCCATATACGACAGGTCTACACCTCCAATGGGAGCCACCCAACAACCCAGGTGCCTTTGATCTGTCATTTGCTCCGGCAGCTACAGTACCCCGAGGTGGATGAATTGAGCGACGAACTTCACGGAGGTTTCCGTCTTCTGGGCGATCTACCCATTGGAGCCGGCTGGTCACATCGACACGACCTCAGGTATAGCTGCCCAACCTCCGTTGACGAATTCCTCCAAGAGAACCAGGAGTACATCTACAGGAAGCTCCTGGACCACAAGGTAGAGGACACCATGCTGGATGAGCTGCTCAAAGAACGTGACCAGGGCAAGATTTTGGGACCGTTTGCGTCCTTTACAGACTGGCCCAAGCAGTGTGTTGGCGTCCCCGACCGCACCGATGTGACCTTGCTGCCCAACAGCTGGACGCATTGCCCTACTGCAGTGTGTTTCTCGGTAGTTCAGTCTGACAAGATCCGACGATGCGAAGATTATCGTCGCGGACATCACAATAGCACCATCGGGGCCACCGACATCCCCCACCACCACGACATCGGGGCTTATGTCAGCATGGCATCCTGGTTCCAGGCCCAGTCACACCCAGCCCATATTTGGGCCCACGACTTGAAATCTGCCTACAGGCAGTTTCCCATCCAAGAGCCATGGCACGGCTTCACCCTTCTCTTCACACCGCACGGCCCAACCTTGTGGCAGCATCAGGCTCTCATGTTCGGGGCCACCGCATCGGTCTGGGGATTCAACAGGGCAGCAGACGCTGCGACATACCTCACCAGACAATTGCTCCTCACATGCACCATGCACTACGTGGACGACTTTGGTGGGGTAGAACCGGCTCGGTGTAGCACCTCCGGTTTCCAAGCCTTTACACAATTCACCGAAATCTTGGGCCTGCATATGAAGCCGAACAAGGCACAACCGCCAGACACCAAACAGGAGCTCCTGGGGGTCGAGATCGAAGTGGGCACCGACGAGATCGTCCTACGACCGACAGCGACCAGGCGGGCTAAACTACGTGAAGAAATTCATCGATTACAAGCCCAGGGCACGATTTCGCCCGCGGAGGCCAGCAGACTTGCTGGCCGCATGACCTTCCTGAACTCCACTGTTTTCGGCAAGGTGGGGGCGGCCGCCCTTCGACCTCTATACGTCCGGGCCAAGGCAATGGGGGGACGCCCCAAAGGAGATCAATATGCCGTCACACCGCCACTGGCAGCTGCCCTCAGAACCATGATCCACATTATCAGCACGGCAGAACCACAGAGGTTCCCTTTGACACCTGCACAGCCCTGCTCGGCCACACTCTACGCCGACGCCTTTTACAAGCAAGGTGAGTACAAGATGACCGCCGATGAGGCCTGGGAACTGCGACACGGCGGTCTCTCCAACGGCTGGGGCTTTGTGGCGCGCTTGGGGGAAGACATCTTTTATGCTCATGGCTCCCTTCCACAACAACTTCTGCTGAGGGTCACCACTCGGCAGGCTTTCATCTACTTTTTGGAGATCTACGCTCAGGTGGTCATGACAGCCTGCCTCTCGGAGCTGCTGCCACGCCAATGGATCAGCTTCATCGACAACCAAGCGGGACATGCAGCCTTGCTCAAAGGTTGGGGCTCCGACGAACGGGTGAACCTGCTCCTCGAGTGTTTTTGGAAAATGGCCGCCAAGCTCCAGTGGCAGCCACATTTCGAGTGGGTGCCCAGCCACAACAACATCTCTGACCCGATTTCCAGGGGTGACTTTTCTCTGGCAAACCTCCATCAGTGGACCCTCATCGATGTTGAGGATACACCACTGCACAAGCTTTTGAGTAGCAGCCAGACGAATTTGGAACAGGCTCACCTAGAGGGTGATCGAATCTTGTCCCAATTAGCCTCAACCCGGTGCTGTGTGGTGAACTCCCCGGGTGGTCTCCACAGGAGTTCATCACCAGTGAGGCCTGGGAGGAAATGATCCAACCCTCAGACCTATAGAGGAGGAAAAAGTCGAGAGCTTGGTGCTGCGGAACAGTTCGGTTCGAGATGAATGTCGACAGTTCGATTCGTGATTTGTGTCGATAGTCGCTATCTAACAAGTTAGGTAACGCCACTTGATTGCATGTGGCTGGAAGCGGTGTTGTGTATTACAATGGAATTGTAAGAAGTAACACAAGCAGAACAGCGAATGCCTGAGCTGTTCTGGTTCGAGCCAATTTGAGCCCTCCACTCCACACCCCTTCGTAGATCGACTTGGAGCGCCGTCGCTGCCGCTTTTGTCTACTACCACCACTGAGATGAGCCTCATGATCACAGTCTTCTGAGGTGGCATTCAGTTTTCCTTTCTTTACTCGTACCGGATTAATCCGGTAGTTCGTACAGGTTGTGTCACTTCCTGTACATTGTGTCTCTTTCTCCGAATTCACGATCAGGTCACTTACATCCTAGCCCTGGGATGGTCTCCACAGGAGTTCATCACCAGTGAGGCCTGGGAGGAAATGATCCAACCCTCAGACCTATAGAGGAGGAAAAAGTCGAGAGCTTGGTGCTGCGGAACAGTTCGGTTCGAGACGAATGTCGACAGTTCGATTCGTGATTTGTGTCGATAGTCGCTATCTAACAAGTTAGGTAACGCCACTTGATTGCATGTGGCTGGAAGCGGTGTTATCACTAACATCCCTTGTTATAGCGAGCCACATTGAACAACATATGATAACATCCACCAGCATGATGTGGCCAGTGGCGGGCCAGCGGAGTCTGAACATCCACTGCAGACATCCGTTCGGTCGTCCCGCCGGCCCCAGGCGCCCGTGGGCTTCTGGGACCCTTTGGGCCTGTCAGCGGATGGCCACTCGGTTGGAGCGATGAGCCTAGCTGGGGTTGACATGAGTGGGATCTCGACTTGCTACAGGTCCTACATGGTCCGGCCCTAGGTCAGACGATGGTGGAACGACCAATTCCCAGAAGAACAGATGTTGTTTGTTTTTTGAAGATACATGGAAAAGCATGGAAACACATTTTGGATGTTTTCAGATTTTGTTGCAGGGAAGCACAGGGAGCCCAAACCCATGGTGGAAATCCCCCGCGAACGGTTGTTTGATCATCTCTCACCAGTGTGTTCACCACAAGGGTCGTTGGCAGAATTCAATCGTTCGTCCACCAGGGTGCTGGGTCGCTGGGTCGGGGTGCGACTTCTTTTGATTGGTGGTCTTTTTCGAAGAGACTCCTCCAAGAGGTTGGGACATGTTGGGAAAATTCAAGCACTTCTGCCAAGACACTTCTTCCTAGACCGATCGCAGAAGGTCTCGACGTCTTCTTACGATCTCAGGCGATGTGGAGACCTTCAAGAGGCGTCGTGCCGCGGAGTTGAAGCACGGGCGAATTTGCATGTTGGCCTGCGTTGGTGGCTTGGAGATGAGACTTGGGACGGGACCTGGCTGGACCTGGCTATAGACCCGTTTGGATTGGTCTGATGGTCTGGATAGATGGACAGGTGGTGGGCGAAAGCGGTGTGAAGCCTCCAAAAGCGGTTTCTTTGTAGTGAAGCTTTCTTATTTCGGCAGCCAGGACGGAAAGTCATCCCCCAGGATGGGAGCTGCAAATACACGAGTCGCTTTTGTGTGTTTGGAGGGACCAGTTTTGGCCTATCATATATTGTAGTCTACCAGGTACTGCTTTGGTTGTTTGGCAGGGTGATTCCACACATAGAGCATTGCACGCACCTTCTCTCCGTGACCCATGCGCCAACGCTCGCCTCGCCGATGCCAAGGCTACATCGTGCCGGAGTATTTCAGATGGCCTGGCTACCTCTCCCCTGAGAAGGGCCTCAAGCTACCTGACGGATGGGACTTAACGAAGGGTCTCACATTTTGGATCAACTACAGTAACCCCATGTTTGCAGAGAAGTAACTTTGCTGTATGGCTGGTTTTATGTACTTGTAAGCATAAGATAGTAATCTTGAGGCATCATCATTTTGTACAAACCCACTCTGGTACATGCCATGTTGTAGATGGCAAAGCAGCTTGGGCCAGAGCTTTTTGTAGACTCCAACCGCCCCAACCTCTTCTCCCCCTTTAACTTAATGGGGATTTACATTGTCACTATATGATCCAGTCTATATGTGAAAGCATGTGACACAAATCCATCATCCACTGCATAGATCCAATGCGAACCGCACAGAAAGGGACATACACTCTACTCAAATTTTAACAATGCCATAGATGATGTATGAGATAATGAACATGCCCCTACATCGCGAACCCTTTTTCTAATCACAGAAGGGGAAATCACTGATATTACTTAGTAAATCTTAGTAACTATTACCATGCAGAAATTCATGTCATGTAAAAAATACAAGCACACATTTTCTCTTGAGGTGAAACTTGGACATTATGGTCCTCACCTCAATGGCTTTGAGCCTTCTCAAACATCTGCTCCAATGGAACGCCCGCTGTCTCGTCGCTGTCTCGCCTCGACCGCCGCCGAGGTTTGCGGACATGCCCCACGGCATCGCGGCGATCAGCAAGGTCCCACTGGACGCTCGGCGCGCTCGCCTCCACCCCCCAAGCCGGAGCTATTTCCCTCCATCGTCCAACGGAGCGGTTTTGGTTCGGAGGTGACCCAAATCAGTGCCTCGTTTTTGGGAGAAGTTTGTGGCTAAAAAAAGAATGGCATCTCTCCCAAGGAAGGCTGGGTGCAGATCGTGCTCTTCTTGGGCCACTACGAGGGCTACTTCTGGCGCCAGGACCCCAAGAGGGCCCCTGGCGACTACGAGGGCTACGGCTTCCTTGGCCCCTCGGTCCGAGACAAAGAGGAACAGAAAAGGCGGCAGAAACGCGACATGTTCAGCCCATGTACGATGCCATAAGATGCCATAAGAAATTATTTCATAGGTGGTGGACGGTACCACCTAACTATGGTATCCCTCATTTCAGCCCCAATGTTCATGCAACATGTTGATCTCATCATACTTCACACTGCGTTTGGGCTGAAGTCGTTCTATTCCAGCATTCATAGTGCCATGAGGGAGCTTCAAGCAAGAGGAGGAGTTCGTTCTGGATCCAATGTCAGTTTGAATTCAGTATCGACCATGAACGAGATGAACAGTAGTGAGGCACATGATTTCTTCTTCCAGGTGGTTCAGGAACTTGCCAATCTACATAGCCAGCATTTGAATGCATTTGCTATTCCATGCTTCGCACCCTTTTCGCGAGCTGAGCGGAGCCTTTTCGCGAGCTGAGGTGCTGGCAAGAACTTCATTTTCAACTTCGACCCCATTGAGTTCCAGGCCGTCAGGAGGTTTCTTTTCATGAACAAATTCATGGAAGACCGAATGGTACATGGTGCACCCCATTCCGTTTTCCGGCTGAAATGGCCAGCGCCGTGGCAAAGAGCATCCCCAAGCAGAACTTTCATTCGGTTGGTGTAGAATGCTTGCATGGAAACACCTTGTTCAGCAAGATCATTCTAACATCCAGAATCTCTTCCACCTCATTGAAACCCCAAAGCTCTTCATCCACTGATCCTTGGGGTCGGATCAAACTATCCCTTGGAGTCGGTCCCTCCACATGATCACATCCCTCCGCAGTCGGTCCGATGTTGGGGACTTCCAGGACCCCCAGGTGAAGAAGACCAAGTTGGCTGCCGAACTCGCCAATGGCCGCCTTGCCATGGTGGCGCTGATGGCGATGTGGCTGTGGCCATATGTGTTTTTTCGATGGTCGACGGTGATGGGCCAAAGATGAACATGGGACCGGTACACGAGTTCTTGAAGACGAAGTGTAATTAGATGCATCTCCCTGAAAATTAGATCGATATCCGATGGCCTCTTATCACTGTGAAAGGTTCACAAGCTGGTGGTGCTGGGCGGATTCCTTTGGACGAACGCAGTGTATTCCTTTGCAAAGGAAAGATAGGACATGCTTTGCAATTTTGCAGTGATATTGTAGGGCACCGACCGTGTTTGTTGTTGAGCATGCACAGGATCCGGGATCCTCACCTTTTGTTCCATGAATGCTCAAGCAATAATTGGAGGAAGTTAATGTCGACAGCCGCCTCCAAATGCAGATTATCATTGTAGTCCGCGAGTCATGGAAGGTCTTTCCCTTTTTCTCCGGAGTTGTTTGAAAGTCTCGTTGATGACAGTCAAAGTTGATTGGACATGCCCGAACAGTAAGTGCCACTGCCACATACTCCAAGATCGGAAAGGCACCACAACACCATAACCGGTGATTAAGCTAAACGGATCTAAACGCTTATATAGCTGCCTTTCTTATTCCCCAACTACCTCAAAACGACCTCGTTTTGGACCCTGGATTGCTTCGCCCGCTGGCCCAGGCTGTTCCAGAACGGCACCGTGGGCACCACTGGCCCTGCCATGTGGCTCCCCGCGGCGTAGGTCCGTCCAGACCCGAAGCGGAGGAAAAAAAGGAGAGTGGTCCGACTGGCGGCAGCATGGTGTGGCAGCACAGACATGGTCAAATTGATTGTTATTTTTATATGGTTTGTTGAGGCTCATGCCTCATATATAGTTGTTTTTTCTGTTTAAATCCTCTCTCAGTTCTTTTTCTCTGGCGCCGTCCGTCATGATATTTAATGTGCGGTGCTTGATGAATGATGAATAATGATGACATGTATGACCGTTTTGCCAGTGGAACGACATACTTGTGTGATGTATGAGCGCGCGTTTGTTTGCCGGAGAGGCAGTCCTGTACGCTAGTACTCCGCTTGTCCAGAAGATTCGACTATAAATTTGTGTGAATCCGTCACCAACAAAATATCTTGTCTACGCAGCAAACATAAGGCCTTGTGTTTTTTGGAGGATGTCGTGCTTGATTCAAATGGATTTCTTCCTGCAACACGTTTCCGGGCTTTATGCAGACCCTGACCTTCCACCGTCTTTTGCGTATTCAGCTGTTGAGCATCGTGGACTGCCGTTGGATGCATGCGCGAGCGATGATTGCTGTGGGGCCCTGTGCGAATTCCCTTAGGGCACAACTACGCTCCCGCCCACACGTCTTTGGAGTAATTCCAATCTTCATGTTTGCATTTTGGCCGGTTTGTATGCGCTCAGGGTCTCGACGATTTTCGACCACTCTTCTTCCATCAGAGATCCACTCCATCCTCTGCCACCATTCTCTGGTCCTCCATGTGGCTCCATACTTCCTGCCCGAACGGACGATCTCTCCGACGATCTCTCCAGACCTGGGTATCATGTTGCCGGACCCGGCTCGGGTGAATGTGGCCACACTCATGTGGGCTTCAACCCGCCACCCAGTCACCTCCAAGCTGCTCCTCCACCTGTCACCCTCAGTGGCCCCTCCGCCCCGCTCCCCTTCGCCGCGAACTGAGACGGTCGAGGCGAGCCATGAGCCTGGCCGGTCGGGAGTGACTTGGCCCATCTGGAAGCTCATGACGCTCATCTTTCAGGCTCATGTCCATTGTATGTACATGTCCATGGTCGTTGAGGTTGGATGGCTTCCGAAGTTTTTTGATTGCACCAAAGCCACAAAATCATTTGATTCAGATGACACAAGAAACACCCAAAACACAAATTGTGTCCTCTCATACTTGACCCTTGCAATGGGAAGCGTGCAAAGTTTTGGCAAGCCCATGGCTCTTGGCAGGCTTTGGATGTGTCTCATCTCAAGCCAAACGATTCAAGTTCTTTGACAACAAAATCCTGGACCTGAGATTAATAGGCAGGTCTAAAAAACCATGACTTCTGGGACACACCCATGTCCTATGATGTCTTCTGTATACATATATATATATATATATATATATATATATCGCTCGTCGAAGCACCCCGAAAAACCGTTTCACTCGGAACCATCCTCGTGCCATCTGGTGCCCTCCTACTGGACGGCCATCTCGGCCCACGCGGCGGTGCCAACGACCTTCTTCGCTCGCAGAAGCGACATGGCAAGCCCCACATTGTTCGCCCGGCACCTCCGGTACATCCAGTCGCTTGGGACCCCAACTCCGCAAAGGATGTACTGGTAGCCGTAGAGCCTTGATCAGCCAAACCGAGGAAAGCAGCACTTAAGATCGGATTAGCCAAGAAATGCCGCCCTTGATGGGCCACATCTCGTACCACTGTGGAGGTTTCTTCTAGACTCCTCAGTCTGAGCATGTTGGTCCGGGGGCCCACCCCACCAATGGCAGATAATGGCAGGAAGTATTCAGCAAGCCAGCAAGCCATGGCGACCATGTTGGGCTCCAGGAAGATGGTCGCTTCGGGGCTTCCTTGATCGGCAGCGACCCCTTGGCCCGTCTCGCTCCCAATGACCCGGTCGTGAAAACCAAGACAGAGCAGCCCCAGCAGCCCTGCCCGGGCCAGAACTGGCAAGGCAGCTGGGGGAACACTCTCAGACAGGCAGCCTATCTTTTTGGTGCAATTATTGCAGGGCATCGGTCGTCGAAAGAACCATCTCCTGAGTGGAAGCAATAGTTTGGAAGAAGACACTGAAACGGAGCAACTACAAGTGCGCATCGAAGACAACGGCAAACCTTTTTAGCCATATTTGTTGGTCCACATCACTCGGCAACACACTGGCCCGAACCCAGATGCTACAAGACCACACCCTTAACACTGCGACTGAAATCGGTGGCAAGATGGGTGCACAAGACCCGGACAACGCCAAACACTGCAATCAGAACGTGGTCAACAGTAAGGACATTGGAGTAGAAGCTGAACCAGTTTTGGCCACGCCTGCAGTATGGTCAGTTCTTATCTTTTTTTGCGTGGGCAAGCCGGAGGAAGTGTAGTTTTTGGGTTGGCTTGCCACACGAAAACTTCTCTCTCTAACTCACTACCTGCGGTTTACACTTCTTTCAGTTGCCTTGTTTGATTTGGTTTGTGGTTGAAACCAGTGACCCGCATTGATTATCGTTGTGCTTTCTTTCTTGTGCTGCCCATGACTTCATGGGAAGAACGCTCATTGAAAGATCAAGGCCTGGGACCATGCTCGACCGGGGCTTGCGCGCATAAGCTCCCAACACGGAGAAACCATGAAAGCGCGGGAGAGGTGCAACGTTTGAGCGTCAGGTCGAAGGCCAACACCTATCGATGGAACCAGTTGGTGAGGGAGGCAACAAAGCCAACTCCAGGCATTGCCAGTTGTTGCGTTTTCGGGCGCCAGCCATTGCACTGAGCCCTCGTGGAGGATCCATATGCGTGAGCTGCTGCTTTTGGTGGCACTTGGAACAGCGCGGCTTTACCACAACTCACGGACTCACGGCAGCACAAATCACTGGGTCATAGTCAGCACGTGCGTTTCGAGAAGGATGGGTGCTGCGCACCATAGCCGGATGTGGAAACAAGTCGCAGGGGTGAAGCCACGGTGCTGAAGAGGCACCCTATCCCTAGACGTCAGGAAACTTTGGAGGCACAATTCGCCGGGCAGCCCGAACCAAACCGCAGCACGGGGAAGACTGGAGACTAACCCGAACGTGTGTGCCGGCTTTGGAAGGATTGAGAACAGCTTCTGCTTGTTTGCGAAGGAGCACGTGGTTTCTATCGGTCATGCCGCCTGGACATCCCATAGGGCTTGGTGTTCCTGTGGGGTCACAACCCGCACATTGCCCTGCAGGTTCCTGGGTCATCCGGTCCTCCTGGGCTATTCCTGGGGGGCGCCCTGCTCCCTCCCGTCCCGCTTTCCTACCGGCGAAATTCTTAGTTTGGAACCTCGTGCTTCCTCTTTGCATTAGGTGGATATCAGGAGGGCCGCTTTTTCAGCCTGGCTCAACTGAGGTGGCTTGAGGCGCTGGTGCAAAACATGAGGGAACCTTGTTAACCTGGACTATGGAATGTGTAGGCGTCAATTCAACCTGGGGGGCTGTGGCTATAATGTGGTCGTGACATTGGAGCACCAAATTTTGATTGAAATCGTTTTAGAAGCCGCTCTGGTGTGAGTGATAGAAGTGCTTGGGTGAGAGGGACCGCTGGCTGACCTGTTGCAGGGCATGGGGTAGTTCTTCCCCACGGCGGCTATTGCGATGCTATTGGTTTCTGGCTGCTCGGGGGGGGGGCGCTTTAGCACCGAAGCCGCAGCCTTCCTCCGCCCCTTCGTGCTAGCCACAGCTCGGGCTGTTCCCGGTCACCTCCGCTCTTTTGTCGCCCTCCTCGCCCATGCAGCCGTGCTGCTTTTTGCAACCAGCGTCCTCCTTCAGGACTCTGCTGGCCCCGCTCTCTACGACGTCCTTGGGCAAGACGGAGGTCTGCCCGGCCCGCCGGTCTCCCGGCTCGCCTCGTCCCCTTGAAGGGGGTCCGTGGCTTGCATTTGGCTTCTTTTCGCCGGGAAACTGCGCGAGAAGGGCTGGAGAAAACCGCTATGTCGCTTTTGGCTGAGCAATGCTGTGCATTTCCATCATGCTCCAGGCCAGCCAGCCAGCCAGCCAGCCAGCCACGCAGCCAGCCAGCCAGCCTCATCGTGTGCATGTCACAGAAGGTAGCTTGAACTACCTGAGTTCTCCTTGTTTTGGTTTAGAAAAAATGTATTCCAATCAATTGATTTTGTGCTTTGCACTGAGTTTGGCCCTGTAAGAAGGGATTCTATGATCAAATCCCCCATGCGCCGTCGCTGTTTGGGTCACGTCCATCTACCTTTGACGCCGTCATGGACTTCTACCCTCAAGTGTGCACGTTGTTGTCTCGCCATCACACCGCCGCTGAACATATGACCGCATATGACAGAGCCCTTGCGGGCAGCAGGAACAAAAATAAAATGCCAACCGCTTAAACAAGACAACAAAAGTCCAGCCGGCGCAGGCCAAACACCAAAAGAATGTAACTGTTTCAACTTTGATTTCAAAACAGCATAACATAAACACACACACACAAACGTGCACAGTTTAACACTAAACTAACTATTTTTAATGCAATATACGGCCATCAAGTCGGCGGACATGCGCCACAAGGTTCTCATTTTAAGATCCGCCGTGTTGGGATGTTTGGTTGCCACACGGACCGCGCGCAACAGTGCGTGCAACAATGGTCGTACGGTTGTGCACAAAATTGTTCGGCCTTGGGTTGGCCCCATGGCGAGCGTTGCTTCTGTCAGTGATGCGTGTTGAAAACTGCAGTTGTGCGTGGTGACGCGCGTGTGGTTGGCGTTTCACCATGTGCTGATTTGCATAATTGGCGTTCAACGGTTGCAGACCTGGCAACCCCGAAACAGCAATTTGTTTGCTGTTTTGGGGTGCTGCTGCAGCCGATTTCGGCACAGGTCTTGGAAATCGAGGGCCGCTGTGTTGGACCGCACGGTGGCACATCGCACGTTCCAGCACAAGTTCCTAGCCCACAAAGCAGGCAATTATCTTGCGACTGGGGAATCACCTGTCCCCAAGATGTGGCATGCATTGGCTGAAAACTTGACTTTGGACTTTGCGCCTGCA